CAGATCCCATTCACCACGCCAATTCAGGCTCTATCGCAGCAGATCCGATCTTTCCGACCCCTACCGCCCAACTTGCTGCGTCCTCTCGGCCTCTCCAGTGTTCCCAATACCCGACGAATCACATCGCGCAACGTCGTCGCGTCGCGTTTCAGATAACAACGAATCCGTTCTAGACCATCCCTTCCCAGTTGTCGATCAGGAGATTTCTGCAGAAAGCCCAGAGAACTCTTCTTATCGACAACGCACATGCATGGCATTTGTTCATTTACACGTGCGGGTGGATAGGCCAAGGCGCATGTGTGACACCTGCTAATTTTGGGTCGGGGCACGGCGTGGGTGCCGAGTATGCTGGATGGATGAAACTAATGGCATTTTATGCGCTGGATTGAGGCTGAGTTGTGTATTGTGGATAGGTTGAGTGGTATCTCATTATCTTTACGCGTCAGCCCTCGTCCTTGGTCCTTCTTCCCTCCCTTCGACACCTTTTCCGTCGTTCTTTGTTCGTCGCATCTTTTTTGCGCAGACACTCTTTGGTTGTTTTTTATATGGTTCAGTGAACCAGTACATTCTTTACACAAAATACATTCTTTTTTTGCTTTGATCAGCACGTTCCTTTTTGCGATACCATTATACCGATTCAATCATTCAAAATGATACCGAGCACCCTCAGCAAAGCCGTTTCACTCGTTGTGCAAATCGCCGCCATCCAGGCCCCACCGCCATCGCCTCCAGCGCCAGCCGCCCTACTGTCCTCATCAAGCACCCTCGCCGCCTCCCTCAAAGTTTCATTCCCAGACCCAGGTCGAGCACTCCTCCCCCAGCCATACTGGTGGTGGCAATCCGGTACCGCAGTCGAAGCTCTTCTAACCTACGGCTCCACCACCGGCGACCTTCAGTATGAAGATCTTCTCAAGACCACCATCCTGAGTCAAGCGACCCCCGCAAACGACTTCATGACTGTCGACGCGACCGGCAACGATGATCAAGCGTGGTGGGGTCTCGCCGCTATAACAGCCGCCGAGATGAAGCTCCCGCAACAGGGACCCGTAGCTTGGGTGGATTTGGCGACCAACGTCTTCAACCAGCAAAAGCAGCGTTGGATTGATGGCAACAACACTTGCGGCGGCGGTCTGCGTTGGAAAGTAGATTTCGGCGAGGACGGCCAGAATGGATGGCACTACAAGAACGCCATTACAAACGGACTGTTCTTTCAACTCGCCGCCCGCATTGGACATCTCACAAAAGATGCGGAGATCCTATCTTGGGCGGAGAAAACATACGTCTGGAGTACAAAGGTCGGACTTGTAGACCAGGACTTCAATGTCTACGACGGCACAAGTGAAGACAACGGATGCTCAGATCTAAACCACAACATGTGGAGTTACAACGTCGGTGTGTACATGTACGGTGCTGCTGTCATGGCCGTGCACACCAAAGACGAGAAGTGGGCGGAGAGAACGAAGGGTTTTGTCGCTTCCGCGAAGAGGAACTTTGTGAACACCGACACTGGCGCGCTTTTCGAGAGCAAGTGTGAGGTCAAGGATGCAGAGGAGCCGTGCGACACCGATCAAGTCTCTTTCAAGGGCTTGTTGGCGCGATGGTTGGGTGCTACGGCTGTGTTATTGCCGCAGGTTAAGGAGGATGTGGAGAAGATTGTTAATCCAGCTGCGAACGCGGTGCACAACGGTACCATTCTGGACTTGGGTCCTATTGAGAGTGCATATGCGCTCGAGGTCGTTGATGCGAGTTTGAGGATGCAGGGATTGGGTGGTGAGGGAACGATTGGAGTTGGCAAAGCCAAGGCAGCAAGGAGTATTGCAGGAAGGATAGCGTGGTGATGCAAGAGATAGAATGTGGATACCCCGATAGATTTGCTTTTTCAAACACAAGGCTGCCCTTCACGATCGTATTGTGCGCGCCCATCATCCCAAAACCATCTCCACGAACATTCAATTGCCGGATTAACCCCTGCTTTTAGCGTCATCGCAATCGTATCGCGGCCGATCGCATCTTCGATCCATCTGCGGGTGCGCTACGCGGATCGAGGTTCCGGTTCCACGGGGAAGCTAACGGCGTGGCTTGCAGCCCCTCAACACCAATGGAGCTGTTGGAGCTCTCATAATGACGTCGCAGGTACGGAAGCTTGCCAGGAACGTCAACAAACTTCATTTAAGGTGCGGCTGCGCGTGTTCACTAACATCCCATCTCATCGCGCAATTGTTGCTTTGTTGTGTGCAATTGACTGGTAGCGACATTATGCCTTCTATAAACTCGACTGTGCGTAGTCTGTGAGGGGTCGGAGGGGTTGAAAGAGTGAAAGCTGACTCTTCGGTGTAGGTATTCCATGCGTATGCCTATGGCACGGCATTCTGGTACGGCCTGCGTGGCTTGTGTCGCGTGTACGACCCCATCATGGTTATCGGCTGTACGTTACATTGACTTTCCAACCTTCCTACCCCGCTCTTCAAAGCCTCAGTCCCCTGATGTTCACTGTCCATTCCACAAACTAACACCAACAGGGTTCCGACCTCCCTCGCAACTAAACCTCGCGCCCAACGATCTCGAAGCCTACAATGTCCGCAACGACGGCTGGTGTCTCGTCACCCTCGCGCTGATCCTCATCTCCTTCACAAACGCCATACCCTTCAACTCCGCGCCCGCAACGAAGCTCACGACGATCCCGTATGCGAAGGCGGTGGTAGCTGCGACGGTGTTCCATCATATCACGACGGGCATTGGCGCGTACCAGCATTACAAGATGCCGAGCCATTATAATACGAGCATGAGCATTGGGGTGTGGGGGAATGTGTGGTTGACGTTGACCGGATTGTTTACGCTAGCAATGCTGCAGTCAGATAAGGGGACGATGCCGGTTGAAGAGGTAACTAAGAAGGTGAGATAGATGTTGGGTGGATGGAAGGAAGGAAGGAAGGAAAGAGGAAGGCATGGCCATCGGGATATGCGCTTTGTGGTGGACTGCAAGATCAAGGCCGTACAGTCTGGGCCTGAGCAGTTGCGATCGAAAAGTAAGATGTGTATACAGCGACAGAGTGTATATAAAAGAGAAAAAGCAGTCTTAATGTCACTGTCCGACACTCGTGTACTAATGCCGAGCTAGTTCGTAAATCTCTAGTCTTTGAGCATCTTTCCAATGACTAAGTACCCTCTCACACCAACCTTCTTCCCACCTTTCCTCCTCTGCGACCTCACTGTCACGTCAACCTAGGGAAAATGAACACCCTGGAGCCTACGTTGACGCTGGGTTACCCACTTTGCACGTTCTTGTCTGGATGTAGTCCGCAGGCCTGTTCAGTCTTCTCTTGTATGAGGTATCACTATCCCTCAAAACCCCTCCGGTCTATACCTGGGCCATCCTCCAAACCCACTGTTATACCCCCGAAAGTTCCAACCTTGCCTAGTCATCATACATGGCGTGCAATAAGCGTTGCGACGGAAGTCAAACTGGTTCTGCTCGCGACACCTTCGAGATTGGCGATAAGGGATGCCGGGTTGATTGAAGTAGCGTGGGTCGTTGATCTGGTTCAGACCGGTGCGAAAGTGTTGGCACGGTGGGGATTGGATGTATTCGTGGTGAGCACAGCGTTCGTAGTGGCGGTAGATGTCGCGGCACATGGTGTTGAGATATGTAGGGGAACAGAGCGTGATGTGTCTTCTTGTGGTTTGGGTGGGATGAGTTTGGTTTGGATCAGGAGTGTCGGTGTATTGCAAAGAACTCTGTTCAGTGTCTCGCGACAAAACTGCTATAGTCCCATCTCATCTCCCCTCTTATACCCATCCTCCAGTGTTGCGATCGTCCAACACACCCATGTCGAATCTCATGTGAACCAACTATCAACCGCGGGGAACTCGGGCAGTGAGTTTGGGGCAAAGCCTTACCTATACTGTATGAACAACGCGTAGATGTTTCGTAAGATCCTCCTGCTGCCTTCCACCGGTGAAGAGTATACGTACTCAGCGATGTGTGGTTCCGGGGCTTCATCAACTGCAAGATACTGTTCGTAACGAATGCGCATCTCTGCTTTGAGGTATGAAAACTAGCGCAAACGTCTCTTGTAAAGCCACATGGCAGAGGCTCCGAATGGTACAATGTGAGAGGGCAATCTGCCGGACTGTTGGGGGCAAATCGGAATGAAGCCATGTGTGTGAAGTAACCCGGAGAAACTTGCTCAGCCTTACGCAAATTGACCCAGCTCCCCGGTTATGGAGGACGGAAGCGATTGACGGGTGCGGATGGTCTGGATGTTCGTCGCATTGCGATCCCGCTGGTCTAGACCTGATGGCTTGGGGTGTAGTACAGATGACGAGTAAGTTTGCTGTATGAGCCAACGAATCTTGACGATGGTAACGGTCGTATCCGGGCCGCGACCCAAGTGGAAAGGGCGTTCGGCTCTTTGTCACAATGAACGGCGTTGCGTCATTTTAGAACCGTAGTTGTTCGCAAGGGTCGATGCGGATAATGCTCCGAGCATACGCGCATCGACTCTGGAAGCGATCCGAGAGGCTCGGCGTCTGGGTAGAAATTGTTCACGAAAAGTACTCAATATTTCGGCCGAGGTTGTGGACGTCACGTTAAAGTCGCCTGACTTAAGACGTTGAAGTCAGAACACGTGGCTGCACGTGGGGCAGTAACACAAGCTCGTAGCAGTGAAAATGTGAAGCGAGGCCGTCACGATCGGTGAGAAGACAAGTCGTGATGAAGTGAAATGTTCTGATATGCTTTTATTGATGAACGCCTGACCAACCCACCTGGGTACAGGTCATATAATGCTACCCAAAACGCCAATATTTATGCAAGGGGTATCGCTGAATGCAAAAAGAAAAAGAGCCTCCCAATATTCATGATCATGCAGTCGTTTTCATGCAGTCATCATCATGTGTGTCCGTCATCAGTACCCGTGGCCTGCCACTGGAGAGCTCAGTGTGTATGTAACAAAAGAAAATGCAGTAAAAGAATCAGAGCAGACGTGGCTTTCCACCGTCTATAGTCCCCTGAACTTGGCACCGTTCCTGTGGTAGATGCTGTGCACTGCGCGAGGAGTGATAGCCGGTGGAGCGACTGCCGGGGGAGCGGGTGGAGTAGCAACAGGCGCTGTCGGAGCAGGCGCTGTGACAGTGACCATGACAGTGTCAGTGACTGTGACAACGCCGTTGTCGCCGGCTGGTGGCGTTGGTGCGGCACCGGGACGACCTGAAAGTGTCGGGATCTCCATAGTAGCGCTGGAGGCCGCTGAGTTGCTGGGAGATGGCAGCTGGGCGGTAGCAGAGGGGACGATGGCAGATATCGGAGGAGAGTTGCTGGGGGCTGGGGGTGCAGCGCTTGGAACGGGAATAGCGCTGGTGGTGACTGGAGCTGTAGGACCCGCGGGCGGAGTGCTGTTGGTGGGGAAAGGAGCGTCGCCAGAGCCAGAACCTCCACCAGGAAGTGAGATCTCGGATGTGACTGGGCCGTATTCGCGCTTGAACGGTGAGTCGGTGAAAAGAGCAGTCCGAGACTTGAAGTCGGGGTGGGCGGTAGTGACACCATCCTGTTGCAGCATCTGGAACTTCGCCATCGCTTCAGGAGCTTCAGCTGCCATGGCAACATCGGCGGATGCGGCGTCGATGTCCATACATGTAGTAAAGTACTCATCCTTGCCTTCTTTGGGAAAGCCAGCTCGACCAGGCATCGATGCCCATTGCCAGACCCAGTACAAGGTGTAGGCTTTGCTGAGTTCCATGGTATCTGGAAGCTTGACATCTGTCTCGCAGTACATGACTGTGTTCGAAGGCCCGCTTTGAGGTGAGCCCATCGCATAGGCTGGAGAAAACTGTTCGCGTTCTTTGGCTTTTGGCGAACCGTTGTTTAGATAGCATCGTCCGTCATCGTAATCGGTCATGGCTAGCAGGACTCCACGCTTGTCGCCACCTTGCCCATCTTTTGTCCACTGCAGTACATCAACAAGCTTGTCGTCAGGCTTTGGTTCCTTGGTTCCGTAGACGAAGATCGTGCCACCCTTCTCGGGCTTCTCGGGGTTGGTGTCTGCGCTCGTAACATGTCCATTCTCTTGATATCGTATAGCGACGTAGCCACCCGGTGGAGATTTGAGACGAGGGAACTTATCGGCATTTGCTTGCTTTTGTTCGCGTTGGGTGGGTGGGCAGACCATGTCGTCCTTGTTGATATAGGCCCTGCCTTCGTTCACGCGGTAGGACATGGCGTCACCCGAGCCAGGAGCATTGCTGCCTCGGTCGACGAACCCCCGCGGGTATCCATATTGACCGACGTAGTTGCCTTTGTCGTCGATATTCCGAAGTTGCTCGCCCCAGCTGTGGCCCATAGCCGCGGGAAAGGCCATGAGCGCGGCGACGAGCGTTTTCCGTATGCTAGGCATTTTGATGTGTGTGTAGTCTCGAAAGTGAATCTTGCCCTGCAAGAGTAAAGTGTGGGATAGTCGGTGCCGGATGTCTTATCAATACTGGCGATACGTATATCCTGACGTGAGTGTTGTTGTCGAAAGCGGGACAGCTGGGAATTGGTGTACAGGAAATTATATCGTGACGAAAAGTGAAGTATCGGCTTGGCGGGCACTGTGAGTGGTCGCTCCGTCAATAGTCGTGTGACTCAATCCGTCTTCACCTCGCACGTAACGATGCTATTGTTCAATGACAATAGTACCGCCTTGTGAACGACGCACTGCGCGCTCTAGGCTACAAGAAAATAAGAAATGCAAGAGAAGAAGTGAAGACGCACAAGCCGGATGTGAACACAGACTGCAATATCACGCGGCCATGGCCCTTTATTCAGGCGGGTGAAGGTGGTGAGACAGACGCTGTTGAGCGTTGTAAAATCTCCGGCCTAGAAGGGAAGAAGCGACAGGAGCCAATAGAGAAGGAGACACACGAGGTGTCGAAACACAGCGCCACTCCACGCGACGCCGCACGCAAGCTTTCGAGCCTGACTGTATGGGTGTAGGATGTGCGTTTCAACGCTGGCCGATGCTGTAGCCGCCAGCCATGGCTTTCCCGTCCCGCAGCGTGGTCGCGGCGTAGCGCGCTCTTGCTGCAGCCTCCCGTACTCTCCGGCGCGAAGATCGGCGTCTGTTAGTCGGTAGTTGGCAATACATGTGCATGGCAGGGCTACGCTAGCCATCCTCAGACATCAGAGGGGCCGTTGAGTGTCAGAGGACCGTGTGCCGTTGATCTACAACACAACGACGGAAGCTAGGCATCATCTAGATCGATGCGATTTTGGGGAAATGGAATAATGAGAGCCAGTGATTGCGAGATTGTAAAGCTTTTTGCATCGCCCATCGTGAACCCACAAGCGTGACGTAAGAAACCGCGCAAAGTGCACGCAAAGTGGATGACAAAATCATCGAAGTGCCAGAGCGAGCCTGGAACGACCCCACGACAGGTGAATGTGTGCCGGTGCAGCGCTTCGAGAAGGAAGGTGAACCCGCAAGCGACGGGTGGTGGGGTGAAGGTAGTTTGGTGGAGGCTCCACGTTGTTTCAGGTCAGAGCGCACGCGGGCGTTGATTGGTCATCGGCCGCCACGCTAGGCTTCAACCTAGGAAATAGAGATATCGCGTGATTGGCGCGCATCTCTCCATTTCACGATGCCTGCCAGCTAGTCTGTTCCCACGACCAGAATACGACCAGATTGACGCCCATCCAGTCTCTATATTTGACAAGCGAGATTCCAGACACCTGGCCAGCTTCATGCGCCTTTTTCTTTTCCGATGCCGAGCACAGGCCGCGAGATGAGATGTTTATTGCGGTACCTCTCATCCATACAGGCACGCTCCTATCGCTCCCTCGTGTTTCATCGATAAGGGAAAACGGCGGGGCGCGGAACAGCCCTGAGGCATAGCAAACGGCATCAACGGGGGCCTGGCCAGCATCCCCGCCTGTCAAAACGGCTCGCAGATTACAGGAACCAAACCCGAGGCTAACCACGTCGGATGTCCTTAGCAGGTGACCTCGTGCGGTGGCTACCCAAACCTAAAGGCCGAGATGTGTCTTCTGGAAGGTGCCATTTCATCTCTCACAATGTCCTTACATCTTGAAATGTTATTGCAAACACGTCTCGACATTGGAGTTTCGAGGTTAGCCATGGAAGGTATGCCAGGTGGTGCCTGTTGGTGTCGTCGCTTTCTGGGTACGGTGGCAAATTGATGTGGGTAGCATCTTCACACGTTGGCGTTGAGACCATCTACAGCTTGATCAAATATGCTCACGCAAACAACCGCCTGCTGTCTTGGTCGTCAAAATGCAATAGCGTAGAATGACTGGTTGAGTGATGGGCACAACAGACGTGAAGAACTTGTCCATCACAAGGACGACCTCATATAAACACCCCAAGAAGATACTCTAGCCGCAATAAGCTGCTGTCAATACCAAGAATACACTACTGCCACGCTCAGAAACAAATCAACGGTCGAAACTACGATTACAGCTCGCCCGATCTACCTGCTTTAACTACTTGAACATGTGCCAATACACACTCGTCATTTACACGTGTTCTCATACATCCCGCAAAGGAACTTCTTGGTGCCCAGCAAGCTTCACGTCGTCGCATGGCTGCTTTGGTCTCTGCAACCATGCGCCTTCAAATACGATTGAAGTCTGCTACCAGGAAGCTTGCGCTGCGTGTATATTGAGAGATCACCAGGAAGCGAGGGCGAAAGAACTTGAGATACGGAGAGATGAGGGTAGACAGTAAATTCACGGGGAGTCGTGAGCGATGAGAGAGGAGAATCCTTGACCAAGCTAGCGCTCTTTGGCAATCTATAGAAATACAAACGCACTCTGAATACTTTTCTTTGCAACCTCAACGTTCTCGCTACCTACCTCTTCTAACATTACCATCTATCGGACAAACCACCACACCACTACATCATCCACATCCACAACAATGGCATCAAACCCCCCCTCATCCCCGCTAGAGTGGCTCGGCGCGATGCTGTAAGTTCTGACTGTCTGTAGTGCATGTGAGACATATACTGACTTCGTGTAGTAAGGAAGCCCATGCAGCCCAGCGGGCAGCGGAAAACGAACTCGACGAAGTCAAGCGCCAGCTTCGTACCGCCCAGGACACTATCGCAGCGCAGAAGCAGGAACTTGTGAAGTCGAGGCAAGACCTGGAATTGGCGAGGGCGGAGACGAAAAGTGTGAGTGATCCATTGGTAAGGGTAATGGCAAGGAGTACTGAGAACGCGCAGCAGTTCCAAAAGCTGGCATTCCAAAAGGCTACGCAGCAAATCCAGACTCAAGGATTTCCGCAAGGCTGTAATCCGCAGACACACCGCAACCAGCTCGCGCAGCACTATTTCCGCCAATTGACCCGGTATCAGCAGCAAGGTCAACAGCAGCGTGAGGAGGAAGGACAGTGAGCTGTGAGTGGGATGGAGGCTGTTGAACATAGTGCGGACCGCTAGCATGTTCAGTGTCGTCGAGACATGCATTGCGAGCAAGAGGAAAAGGACCAATATGTACAATGCAATGGATTAAGGGAACTGTTCACACGGGAGGGAGGGGTGCGGCGAAGTAGGCAGTGTCCGTCTAAGACATTTCACAGCATCACGATAATGCCCTGCATGCATTCAAGTCTCTTCTCGCACCATCCATCCTTTGACATGTGATTCCTTCCCGTCGTTCACATGAGCTCTTGCATGACTTGTCAACTACACTGTGCGCAACTCCTTTCCACTTACTCCCCTACCTCACTACCACCCTACCGCCGGTAAAAAGCACCGCCATCTCCCCGACATAAGCCATGCCAACCCTCAACATCAAACCAGAAAACTGTATATGCGCCGCGACCATCCACTCTTTCTCGTGCCATTGCCACAGACATGCTTACACCATTACTTGCCCAGGATCAGCTCGCCATCATCGCCCAGCAATCGTAGGCGTCGAGCTACACTTAAAGCCGTGCGACGAATGTGCGGAGAGACTGGAAGATGTAGAGCGGGCGTGGCGTGAGAGGAGAGGGATCTGTCCGTATAACGATGTTGAGACGGAGGAGGTGGTGAAGGTAGAAGAGGCAGAGAGTCCCGAGTCAGAGGAGCACGAGGATGCGGTTTCGATCATGACTGAACACTAAAGGAGCACTGCATGTCGAAAAGATACGATATTCAAGTACAGAAACAAACGCAATAGTGACCTAGAAGTCTACATCCAATCAAAGATTTACGTATTCTGCCTTTTGATACCGATGTAGACTACAGGGTGTTTGGTTTTCTTTGAATGGCGTGAGAGATGTGTGTGGCACGCCAATGCAGTGTTATCGGCAACCCATGGTACCGCATCGCGAATCGCGCGCACATTACCAATGTATACTTCAGACCCTGAGAGACTTGCACGACCTCACAACACTCACTTTTGATCAACGATGTATATCTCCCGAACTCGGTTTCAGTGACCGCACCTCTACAGCGCAAGCGCACTCTGTCCTTACCTGCATCATCGCCAGTTGCGAGCGTTACAATGCCGCACTTTGCAATCACTCGTCATACGCTTGACGTGTTTCCGCGTTACGAGATACCGACAAAAACTCGCTTCGCGGTCTACTGCTTGTTATCGCTACATTCGGTATTCTACTTTCAGATACGACCTTTACGTGAGGAAACCATCGCCGCAGGACCTCTCTGGTTCACTTTTCCCGCACATTTACTCTGGATGGCGTTCACGTTGTTCTTCGTCCTAAGGTTCTATGCTGAAAACGACTACTCTACCGATCCCAAGGATCATCTACCACGATACGTAGACCCGATTCCTCCCACATTATACACAATACTACTTGCAATGACGCTTGTCAACGTTGGTCAGATCGCAATCTGGACACAAACTTACCTCGGCACCCCTCCCGTCTTCCCCAAAGACCTCAGCGCAGTTGTTCAAGAATGCACGCTCCACTTCGCAATGGCCTTCTGGGTACTGTCAGAATGTGAGTATATACGCGCATACTGGCATGCGCGCCTCCAAGAGTGGCCCGTCAATCTCATCACACTTCTCCGATCTATCCCCCGAGCCAATTTCGACCTTACTTTCCTCGTATCACGAGACTGTTGCAGTTACCGAATAATGCCACCGAGGGATGGGAGGACATCTATAGAAGCTCTCTGTCGAAGTCTGCTTGACTTGTTCGACATCATGGCTTTTGCGTGGGTGGTCCTGGTCTGTCTTCTTTACCCTATCAAGCGCTTCGCGAATCCCGGTCCTAATGGCGATACTTTCTCAATCGCAAACCGGTGTTTTGGAGTGTTCTTTGCACCGCGGTCGGACTGGTTTATCTTGCTTGATATTGTACTCCAGCGTCCGGTTCGACTATTGGACAGGATGCTGTTTGAATCGGCTGTGGAGGGTGTCAAAAGAGGTCTGGATTGGTGGCGGCGGCGTGATCTACATGGGAGAGCTGATAGAAGCGATCCCGAGAGAACGAGTGACATGTCCCCATTGTACATCCCTCCTGCCGACTGGTCTGACCTCTGGGTCAATAGCGAAGAGATTGCCTGGTGGTCGGTATCTCGACAGCTCTACGAAACGCCCTGGAACGACTGAGATACCTTGAGTCAAGATGGCACTTCCCCCGGACGACTCACCTCTGAGCCTCGCGGAAGCTCTCCATCGCTTTCTGGCATGCGCAGGTATCTCCGCCGACGTCACGTCGGATCGCACGCCTTCGTTAGATACGAAGACGAAAGCGAAGACTCCAGTATGGGCAGCTCCAAGTGACCGTGGAAAGATACGAGCCAAACGAAAAGGCTCTTGTCAATACATGAAGTGCCTCGGTGTTACACAAGGAGCAGGCCGCGCTTTGGGCCGAGACCTTGAGAAGGATTAATCGAGAGGAAGGCGAATGGAAGAATGAGGTGGAACGCGTCGCCTCGGGAATTAGGTTACTCGCGGTGGTTGCTTTTGTCATAGAAGGTCGCCGTAGTTGCACCTTCCTCGTTCGGTCAGGCTGGTCAAATTGTTCACGATAGTTCGTAGGATAGCAAGCGCGCTAGGTATACAAAGGCCATAACTGCGCCATTGAAGGGCTGCAAGTAGCGGAGATCTAGAATCTGACCCCATTGAATCTGTGTAAATGCTGTAAATCTACCCTTAATGTCGCATCGTAAGCATGCCAAAGAAAGAGTGAAAGTGGCGTTTCTCGAGCATTCCTTGGCGCTCTCCAGCTTTGTCAGCCACTAGCGTCCGCGACATTCAGCCTAGCTTCGAGCTCCGCGCATCGCGACATTTTCCCAACACCGCGCGCGCGACGACCTCACACACCACGCCATCGCCGTCGACCTCGCAAAAGCCGTCGCAACCCTTCATACACCTCACCCAACACCTCGCACGACATTCACCATGGCCAACTACCTCGCCTCCATCTTCGGAACGGAGCAAGACAAAGTCAACTGCTCCTTCTACTACAAGATCGGCGCGTGCCGCCACGGCGACCGCTGCTCGCGCAAACACGTCAAGCCCTCGTACTCGCAGACGATCCTGCTGCCGAACCTCTACCAGAACCCCGCGTACGACCCCAAGAACAAGATGAACCCGCAGCAGATGCAGATGCACTTTGATGCGTTTTACGAGGATATCTGGTGCGAGCTGTGCCAGTATGGACTGGTGGAGGAGCTGGTCGTTTGTGACAACAACAATGATCGTGCGTTCCCCCCATACTCATACCTTTACTCCCTTTGATTAGAAGAAGCTGCTAACGCAATTACAGACCTCATCGGCAACGTCTATGTCCGCTTCAAGTACGAAGAAGACGCGCAAAAAGCCTGCGACGCGCTCAACTCGCGCTGGTACGCCGGCCGCCCCATCTACTGCGAACTCTCGCCCGTCACCGATTTCCGCGAGGCCTGCTGTCGTCTCAACAGCGGCGAGGGCTGTGTCCGTGGCGGCTTCTGCAACTTCATCCATCGCAAGGAACCGAGTGCCGAGTTGGACCGCGAGTTGGATATGTGCACGCGCAAGTGGTTGAAGGAGAGAGGTCGGGATGCCAGGAGTATGAGCAGGAGTCCTACGCCGCCTGCGACGAAGAGCCGGTTTTAGGAAGATTTGGTGGCCGGGAGGGTGAGGATGGGGCAGGGTTGAGGAGGAATGAGTGTGAAAGGAGTTTTGGCGTTGTGCATGCTCGCGCTTTTGGGACTGAGATATCCGTTGCGGGCATGGCGTTGCAGATTGACATTTGTATGATAGGCTGGGAAAACGTGCTGAGAGCCGGTAATGGGCTGGACTAGATAGGTAAAAGCACTCATGTCAGTTCACATCAACGTGTCTTTATGCCTAGATGACACCGCAAACTGTGCGAACCCTCGATGGAAGTTTGTTCTCAAGGCAGTTCATGATTCCCGTTGAGTGTTATAAGTGGCCTTGAACATTCACACGCAATGTGGTGAGATAGATTCTCAAGAAAAGAAGCAGATATCGCATTGGTGGCCATGTAAGACCTGGTATCATCTGAAATATAAACATCGAAAAGAAAGAGAACCGCGGATAGCAGCAACGAGTATCCGAGTGCTCAGAACACCAGCCCAATCCAACCCCCAGAAAAGACATTAAACGCCCCATACGCCCCGTCTATCCCAAAACACACTCATATATACACCTAATCCTTCATTCCTTCATCCATCTTGTCCCCTTCATACTCAGATAATCTTATGCTGTCTCAAGATAATAATCGTAACAACCACGCCCGCAACAAGCAGCAGGAAACATATCCAAAAGCACCAGCAAATCCACGTTCTTTGCTTAGCCTTCCTCTGCTGACCGGCCAACCAACTATCTCTATGTGACGCGTCAGCCGTGATGGTCGTGGTGAAGTGGAAGCGCGAGGAAGGGCGTCCGGAGAGGTGGCTGAGAGAGAGGGTGGAGAGATTGGGGGTGCGGAAGAATGAGTGGGGACGCGAGGATGAAGATGGGTGTGGATGTGTGGGGGAGGGGAGAGGGGAAAAGGGCGGTTGGTAGGCGTTTTGCGTGGTGGTGGAGGGGAGCTCTTGGATGGAGATGGAGGGGCGGAGTAGGGGTTTTGTTGACGGCGTCTTTTGTAGCTTTGATCTCGGCCTCTCTCTCTTTTTATCCATCTCCTTCTCCTTCTCCGCCGTTTGCGTATGTATTCCGCCCGAGAAGATCTCCGCTGATAGTGGTGACAACGGATTTGATGCGGCGTAGGACGACCGTGTGGATTGCAGTTGGACCATGGGCGGGGATGTGATGGGTAGGTGTGTTTGGGAAGTGGGGGATCCGAGGGGAGGGGATAGGGAACTGCTGACGTACGATTGCTTGAGGCCCTGGGTTTGCGTGGTTTTTTCCAAGTCGTCTTGGTGGACGGCTACGCTGAAGCGTTTCCAGAATTGGGGGTCGCGGACCATTTTGCGTTGTGTGTGGGTGG